CAGCCAAGCGTTCTCCTAACAAGGACGCCGACCTCGTCGGGGTAAAAGACCTAGAATACCATTAAATTTGAACAAACAAGACTAAATCGTGCTCAGATCTCCTACGGCGACTCCTCCGCCAAGCGTTCTCCTTTGAAGGACGCTGATCTTGTGGGGGTATGCACTTGCACATGCACATTGTGTTTGCTATAATGCTTGCTGATAATAGTAGATCTCCTACGGCGACTCTTCAGTCAAGCGATCTCCTAACAAGGACGCCGATCTCGTCGGCGTAAGCCCCCAAGTTCAGACATAGCAGTAAGATATCCGCTAATGAAACGTCAGATTTCCTATGGAGAGGGCACATCGTAAACATGCTAGTTCTGTGAGGGCTCAATGGTTTTCCGGATCGGATGTGTGATGGACGATTGAGCGGGCATTGGTTGATCATGAACGAAGGTGGTTGGTCGATCTTTCATTCCTAGCTCATATTTGGAGGGGTTTCCGTATGCAGAAGCAGATATACTTGGAAGCTAGAACAATATATGTGTTGGCTTCGCATTGTATGTGCCGTAATCTGTCGTTATTGATTTATCTATGTCTTTAGAAAGCGCTGCTTGATCACGGTCTGTAGGTATGTTGTATGTTGTGGATGGAGATGAAGAGTTTCAAATTAGGATGGTAAAGAGCAAAGGTTTAAGTCAGTAAGTAAGTAATAGATATTAGCATTGGTCCCGCTCGCTACCTTCCGGTATATTTCGGCGCCGGATCCGTTGGCAAATGAGCACAGCTGCTTTTGAAAGTTTCACTCGCTGTGAATGGTTGTATATGGGAAATAATTTTTTAGGGGGCATTGAGAGAAGTGTTTTATAGACGGATGTAATGTACTAACGGAAAGCCCAGGCGAAATTCAAATCGACGCTTCTGCCCGAGCGATCATGGACTATGACCACACTAAGTACCGGCAATGACTCACTAACTACCTAAGTATGTCGAACTCCAACAGCCTTTCAAATTCGTCTGTAAGAAAGCGATTTAGGACATTACAATCCACCTGACGCAGCCTACCCGAGATGTGGTTACCGGCACTCAGTACAAAGCATATTAGCGTAACCTCTTTCTAATGCTTGTATAGAAGACATCAAGAATAAACGAAATACATTCCAGCGAGTCTCTTTTCAGCACTACTCTGCGCAAAGAAATCCAGAATCACAAACCCTTGCGATGCAAACGGAAATACTGATAAATAAACGCCAAATAAACTACAACGCATACAAGTGCTCCACTAAGTATTGCTTAGTGTACGTTGCTCAGGGACGAGTACAGATCAAGGTCTTGTATTTTGATAAACAGGATAAACGCAAAGACAGAAGAGGTTCTGAGAGAACAGTCACTTATATAAAGTTTCGTGGAACACGTGCACCTGACCCTACTAGGCCATACTGAGGTTCAGATGATACAGAAATTGTTTGAAAAAGAAATCAGTCGCCGACTCCAAAGTATAAAGTATCGTGAAAAACAGATGGCAATGACCCAATGCTCCGCTGGAAGTGAGGTCAGCTGCCGCAGGTCCATGTCCACCATTCCTTGAAAAGGGGCAAACATGTGAAATCTGTAGAAAGACTATAATTTCAATCTCAATCCGAAGCAAGCACGAGAAGAGAACAACGTGAAAGTGGTTTTGCTACTTTTGATAGTCATATTCCCGAAGTCTGCTTCGTGGAAAGCTGCTGTCGAGGGAAATAAAATAAACATAACATGACTTCTCCCCGACGGTGAAACAACTGTCCGATTATAAATGGGCGAGCGGGGCAGCATGTATCACGTGACTCGGGGTTTTATCACTTAAACTCCCAGGAGAAGCGACGACAACAGTTAGAGCTTCTGAGCGTATGGACTATTCCACCGATGAGCGAGTGCTTGTTTGGTGATATAATGTTGTTGGTGCAATGTTGTTCCGTGTTGGGGGATTTGTATAACCATATATCAAGGTGGTATTCTGCTGCTTCCAAATTCACAATCCCAAGATATACTCATTAGATACAAGTATTTGACTCGTTCCTTATCGTTATTATTTACAGAAGATTGTTCAAAATTATTCAGTTCTTAATATCCCTTGCTGAAACATCAGAATCCCGAGTTGAAAAAGTATATAGCTCCAAAATACACCAAGAAGCATCCACCATTCGCCCAAAACAGCAAGAACCAGCAACGATGCCCATCTTCAACGTCCTCTCCCAACCCTTCCGTTCCTTACACCTCCCTTCCCCAGGAAGCTTCAAGGGCCAAACCGTTATCATAACAGGCGCCAACACAGGCCTCGGTCTCGCAACAGCCCAACACACCCTCAACCTAGGAGCCACAAAGGTAATCCTCGGCGTACGCACCATCTCCAAAGGCGAAGAAGCCAAAGCGAAGATCTTAGCCGAAACCACCAATCCCAACGCCTCAATCAAAGTATGGCAAGTCGATCTCAACAGCTTCGCTTCAGTCAAAGCATTCGCAGCACGTGCTGCCAAGCTCGAGAAACTCGACACGGCTATCATGAATGCCGGGCTCGCGACTGGGAAATGGAAGCTTAGTCCCGAGGGCTGGGAGACGCATCTCCAGGTTAATGTGCTGTCGACCGTTCTCCTCAGCCTCTTGCTCCTTCCCACGCTTGTCCGCACCGGGAAGTCCTCGTCCCCGGGTGCTGGGAAGCTACGGCCGCATTTGACCATCGTAGGCAGCGATGTGCATGCCGATGCTTCGCTGCCGGAGCGTAAGGAGCCGAATGTGCTGGCGGCTATGAACGACGAAGCGAGGTGGGAAGTTTCAAACAGGGCGAATCCGGCCGAGAGGTATGCTGCTAGTAAGCTGCTGGGCATGTACGGCGCGTTCGAGGTTGCGAAATGCGTGCCGATGATTGGAGACGAGCCGGCTGTCGTGGTGGATGTCGTGGCGCCGGGTTTCTGCAAGTCTGAGTTGCTAAGTCGGGAGCAGGCGCCGTGGATGCTGGTGGCAGTGCAGAGTCTTACGGGTAGGACCGTTGCTGAGGGTGCGAAGACTGTGGTTGATGCCGCGTCGAGGGGTGTGGATGCCCATGGGAAGTATCTAGACCATCAGAAGTTTGCTAAGTATGTGCTAACCCCTTTTTGAGAAGACGTGTGCTGACATGATTTTTAGACTTGGACCTTTGATTGCGTCGGAAGAGGGGCAGCAGACGCAGGTGAAGGTATGGAGAGAAATTTTCGAGGTTCTCAAGAAATCCACCCCGGAAATTTCAAGCATAGTTGCTGGAAATGTTTGAGCTTGTTCTGCAGCGAGGTATCTTTGGAGAAGTCAGCTTAGCGTTACTAGGAGCGGAGGCATGCTTTTTCCCTTGGTTATTCGAGACGCGCGGTTGAATGTAGATATTACTTTAAAGTCTCAACCATAAACCGAATAAATATACACAAAAAATAGAGACAAGACCTTACGCTCGTTTCTGATATTTTCTTGGGTGTAATCTTCTGTCAAACATGATTTTTTGTAGATGTGACAGGAGAGGTGTTTCTACAATTTTATTTCCTTTTTTCTCTTACGAAGAGGCTTCTTCTAGCCAAGATGCCCTGTCTATTGTCGTCGTCCTCTATTTCGCATAATCTGCAGTTCATCAGTCTCTCATCTTCAAAACCCCGCCTACAGACAAACTTACCCGCAATCGCCGGTTCCGTAGTCGACTTCCCATCATACAGCAACGTCAAAACAGCAGCCACAACAGCAGTATTCTCCGTCAGAAGAAAGTCCTCCAACGTCAAAGTGGGCGCCAAATAATTCCCACAGATACTAGTCAGATCCAACCTGGACAACTGGCCCGTACCGTCGTTCAGCACAGCATCGCGCGCTAGTGCATATGCAAGCGGATTATACGGGATGCCTTCATGCGTGTAAAAGCTTCCAGCTACCTGCCCGGGACAAGCATCTTGGACACGTACATTGGTGACACCGGCGCCATGGGCGTCTTTCAGTGGCGAGGAAGCCCCGTCGCCGAATTGCGGTTGCACGACTTCGTCGGTGAGCGAATAGATGACTGTCGTGGGGACGTAGGACGAGTCGCCGCCGTTGGCGCGCGTTGCTAGGACGAAGTCACTGTCGTATAGGGCTTGCAACCACTGTATACAAGAGTCAGCCAGTTTCTAATTTGATAACTTGGTTTTTCGCAGCTTGAATTCTAACCTGGGTGTTGGAACGAAGAGTTTGAAGAAGTATAATACTTACAGCGGGCGGCTGCGGTACCCATTTTATGATCTGAGTAAGTTCGGTACCACGATATCCGGGTGAGAAGGCAACGTGATCCGTCACATGTGCTCGAGTAGACGGCCAGTACTTGTCTGATTTACCAGGTGATTAGCAAGTGCTGAAGAGTAGTCAGGGCATGACTTACAAGCCCATTGCGAGTCAAGATTTCCCTGCGAATATCCCATGACAGCAATAGAACGATTGCCACAGATATTCGACAAGTAATTGATAGCATACGCCACAAATTCAGCGTTTTTTTGTAAATCATCCAATTCGTATCCAGGAATGTTCAACCAGACCGGATCCCCAAAACTCGTCTCTTCGTTCTGCAGTAATTTGATATACGTCCCTACAAACGTCACATACCCTGGATTTCCAGTCCCCCCAACGAGCAGAATCGGCTGTGGCGCGCCGGATACACCGTACGTGAAGTTCCCGGGAATATAAAGTGCACTCCTGAGTTCATCTTCCGAAAAGCTGTACGGTGCGTCGCCTGTCGAAGCACTCGGGTACACAGCAACACTCGGCTCGCGCGAATTGACATTCGAGCTACTAGCCAAGCCGGACTCAAGACCGTCAATATAACTCACCACTCCATCCCAAGTCAGCGAAGAGAGGCCTGCTGAAATGAGCTGCGTGGCTGTCTCGACGAGGGTTAGATTTTTCCCGTCCAGGATACTTTGGAGCTTGGAAAAGGCGTCTTCAATGGTTGATGGAGCAGTTTGGACAGTGAGGGACTTGAGGTCGCTTTCAACGGATGAGAAGTAATCGGTGATGTCGGAGCGCGTGTCGATTGGCGTTCCAAAAACTTGGGTGATGCTGCATAGGAGGGTGAGACTCCGAGTCAGCCCTGGTAGGGAGAACATCTTGAATGCGATACCGTACTAAAATCTGATCTGCTGGGCATCCAAACCGCTAAAGTTCCTACCTAGGTCCTTCAATATATACTTCGTCCCAGGCATAATAAACCCCCCAACAGGAGTGTAAAGGCAGGGGTTCCGCTAATAGGAGCTGCCATAGAAAACCACCCCTGGCACAACCCCTCCTGTTGGGGGGGGGGTTATTACGCCTGGGACGAAGTATTTACTTTAACGGCTTACATTTGCGGCGTAAAATGCTATCCCAATTCTGCTTTGGGCATAACACGTACAAGCAATGCATTATCCGTTATTCACCCAATCAGATCATTGGTTCCGGTACAGTAAAGTTACGTCAAAAATATGATTTAGATATGTGAAGGATTTAGAGTAAATTTACGTAGTTCGCCGCACGCAGTAATCCACCTGCCGGTAGTTGGAGCTTGCAAAGACCGGAGATACCGAGGCCATGGATGCCAGGAGGATGCAACTTTGAGGTGGGGCCGCATTTTGAAATACTTTCGTCTCGTAGGCTCATTTACGAAGTAGAAGAAGCGTAATTGCAGAACAATGCTGATCTTCTGCTACGCCGCATATTCGCTTGCACGCGGCTATTCTAAATAACCCCTTTTTTAGTGCAGAGCAAATATTCACTCCATAATTATATATTCAATGCCACTTGAACCAGCTCAGATTCGATGAAATGCAGGGCTTCAGGCGGAAGGACTACATGAGGCCCACTATTTGACTTAAAAATGAATGCGAGTCCTGCTAGCCTCATGAATGAAGGAATAAACAGATGAAATGTGCTAGATTGATCTAAGAAACAGTTTCTCTTGAACATTTCTATATGCTAGCTTTGTAATAGGAACACTGTAGGTTCAGGTATTGAAACATGAAAAACCAGCCCCAAAAAGCAGAGAAAAAACTAGAGTCATGGCCATAGATATGTACCTATATAGGCAACATCAAAATTCAACGGCTCACGAGTAAAAGTGATGATGTATAGGCACTTTCAGAGGAACTGAAAGGCCTATATATACAGCATACTTCCCACTGTAGAACAGCAGTCAATTCAAAACTTCTTCCCAAAATACAATAAAAAGCTCACAGGTGGCTATGAAGTGCGGAAACTGAGCGATAAAGCCTTTTCAACAGAAACACCATAGCATATCTGAGTAACCCGCAAAAGGCACTAGCCAATAGAAATTGTTGTCACGGAATACAAAACCACATGAGAAACTTACACTGGTGCGAAGTAAAGTTTGCGTAACATGTAAAATATAACACTGAATTATCTTTAAGAATTTTCTTTCCTCCGCCTTCGAGCTTTACTATCCGCATCACTCCTACGTTCGACTGGAATTGAGTGACTTTCTTCCCCGAATCCTTCATCGTCGTCCTCGCCCCCAATAACCCAAGTCTTCACCACCTCCTTAACCTCTTTCAACTTTCCCTCCTTCCCCTTCGCCTCACCAACCCTCCTGATATACCCAGAGTAAACCACCACCTCCGCAATGCCCACCAACGCACTACCACTCATACTGAGCGCAAGTCGTACTGGTGTGCTCCACCACCTTGCAACCACCCAGATAGCTCCTGCACAAGCAACGATACTAACGAGAACATTTAGAATGAGCGCAACCTGCCGATCGATGTCCGCGTATACGACTTCCTCCTCCTCAGAAGATGCGGGCTCGTGGTTCATAGCGAATGCATTGGCGGATGAGGTGGTGGGGAAGCGTGACGCGAAAGTCTCGAGAGGTGGAGCGGATTGGGTCATTCGTGAGTAAGCTCTGTTTTCTTCTTCGTAGCGGAGACGAGCCATTAGGGCTTTATATTCGGATGTCTAGGATACAGTGTTAGCTTGTGCTCCAGTCGAGCCGTCCCAATTTAAAGTCCAGATGAAGACTCACAGGTTCCTTCTTTGCTGGAGGGGGTGGTATATAGACTCTCACCCCTTTTAGCAGAATCTCCAAACTACAGGGCGATAATCCTTGGGCTTTCAATTGCCTTGATAGGTCGATGACTTGGCCGTGAGATATTGGGTTTCCGACTTTGGGATTCTCCAGTGAAGGCTCTGTTGATTCTGCCTTCTCATCTAGGGTCGAGTTTGCTGTTCCAACTGAGACATTCGACGAGCTTCCTTTCACAGTGCCTTGTTGCTTATCGGCCGCCTCTTGGACTGTAGCGACTGGCAGATTCTCGCTGGGGCTATCGTCTGCGGAGTTGCCTTCTTCCGCACCCTTCTCTCGGGGCTCGTCCTTCTCCTCTTCAGGCTTTGAAGTCCGTATCTTCTCCAGCCCTTCCACTATAACAGTTGTCATGGTTAGAAACACCATTTTGCCGTTGAGTGTCACATTGTTGTAAGGAACATGGTGTTTGAAATTCCAGGTAACAGCTATGGAGCTTTCCGAGGCACTATCCTTGCGCTTCGGGTAAATGGTTGATCCGCAGTGATCTACAGTAGTGCATCCGAAAAATCTAGTCGGGCAAGGACGGGATAGGATGGCTTCATATTTTGTTGGCAACATTTAGATTTCTTACTGTCTTGTTATACTGCTCCGATATTCCTCCCTTTCGAACTCAAGGCGTCAATTGGGTATACGAATGTTTGAAAAGTCCTAATCCGGCCAGTTGATTTTCTTTCTAAAATATCTGGAGCCTGGGATATGAGGATCCGATCGAATAGAGCTTCATTGCTCTTCAACAGCTCCGCAGCATCGAGGCTCCAGTCATATTCTTCGTATTGCAGGTGTCAATTGATATCCCAAAGCTCCGTACGACCTCTTCCGACCTCTATATACCACAATCCCACCCGAAGGAGGCAGTCATCATGGGCGCAAGCTGTGGCAGTCGCGGGCAATGTTTTTTCCAATGCTACAGCGCGAGCAGTGGGACAGGGCGGCATCAGCGTCGATCCGCTACGGATGGTAGCCAAAGAAATGAAGTTTCTTACCGGTAACATACGGAATCTTCTGGGATCCGGGCATCCGTCCCTCGATACCGTTGCGAAATACTATACGCAGGGAGAAGGAAAGCATGTACGGCCTCTCATCGTATTGCTAATGTCCAGAGCTTCTTCGCTGGCTCCAAAATGCTCCAGATATAATGGGCAGGCAAGCCCCATAGACATTGACAGCCCGATTTCGCCAGTGTCTATTTTGACCGATGCCAATCCCTCCTCTCCTTCCGCGAATCCTATTAAAATTACCGAGACTTCATACCCAGCAAGCGACAGCGATATTCTCCCTTCCCAGAGACGACTTGCCGAAATCACCGAATTAATACATACCGCGTCCCTTCTACACGACGATGTCATTGACCATTCACTTTCACGGCGCGGGTCCCCATCAGCGAATCTTGAGTTTGGGAACAAGATGGCTGTGTTGGCAGGGGATTTTCTTCTCAGCCGTGCCTCTGTGGCATTAGCTAGACTCCGCGACGCAGAGGTGACAGAGCTTTTAGCATCCGTGATTGCAAATCTCGTGGAGGGAGAGTTCATGCAATTGAAGAATACGGCGCGGGACGAGAAGAATCCTGTCTGGACCGAGGATACCGTCACATATTATCTGCAAAAGACATACCTGAAGTCTGCAAGTCTGATATCAAAATCATGTCGTGCTGCGGCCCTTTTGGGGGGTGCAGACTCAACGACGGTGGATTCTGCGTATTCGTATGGGAAGAATCTAGGTTTGGCGTTTCAATTGGTGGATGATATGTTGGATTACACAGTCAGCGAGAAGGAGTTGGGGAAACCGGCAGGCGCGGATCTAGAGCTGGGGCTTGCCACGGCACCGTTGTTGTTTGCATGGAAAGATAATGAGGCATTGGGAGCTTTGGTGGGTAGGAAGTTCGCCCAGGAGGGCGACGTTGCAAGGGTAAGTTTTCTTCCCATCTTAATGGCGAAGCAAGCTGACATATATCAGGCACGAGAACTAGTCTCCCAAAGTAATGGTCTAGAGCAAACACGGGCCCTGGCCGAAGAATACGTAAATCGCGCCATCTCCTCCATCAGCGCATTTCCAGACAGCGAAGCGAAAGATGGATTAATAGACATGGCTGTCAAGACATTAAAGCGGAGGAAGTGATGGATGATTATGATTTAGGCCATGAACTCTTCTTACATCAGCATATGGCTGCAATCTGTATTATAAAAGAAAGGCAATTCGGCGCCGGAGTAAAAAGCAATGTATATATAACAATCTGTCGTCTCGACATGGGCTTGTTTAGAAGGGAACAGATATACAGAATAGACGTTTGATGTCCTCAATTCTATGTTAGAATTTAAAATTAGAACTAAAATGTTTCTATACTATGCTTAGAATAACAATAATAGAGAAAGAAAAAAAATCGCCTCCTTCCTACGGAGGTGAGTACCGTACCGTACGCGTACCTATTGCAGGGTCAGGTGTCGAATTAAGGTTTAGTGCCCACCTGACGGCGCGTGTGGAACACTAGACTAGGTAACTTCTAGCTGCAATCGCGACTTTCACTTATAAATATAACAACCATAAGCCTCATGACTCTGGAGAAGGGCCTTTTGCCACTTGAACGAAGATCGTCCACCCTTCGCGATGTCTGCGCCATTGGAAAATCGCAGGTAACGTTATTTCATTCACTTGTTCTTCATCGTCAACTGACTGACGAAACTTTCAGAAGCGCGGCTCTGCGGACGTATTCAAAGCGTGCCAACCCTAACCTCGAGGTGTCTCTAAGTAAAAAGAGACGCGTTTCGAAGACTGATGACGTCGGGTCTTCGTCTTCTTCACAGAATGTCAACTCTGGTCATTTGAGCAAGAAGTCAAAGCATTTGGACGTGCAAAGCTCACCGATCCAACGACCCGGCCAGGACGTCTCGCTTGCTCAATCTCCATTCATCGGAATCGCCTCACCTTGTTCAAGCAAGAAATTCAAGCATCTTGGCGTGCAAAACTTTTTTCAATCGTCTGAAGTTGTCTCACCAAGCAGTCCATCATCTCACACAACGAGTACGTTATGTGAGTCAATCTCGGGACACAGATCCGGCAACTCTACACATTCATCACAACAACCTGTCGCCCCAAGAAATACGAGCAACTACTCGATGATCCAAGAGCCCATGCAATCATATACAATCAAAAGAGAGTCCCTAGAAATACTACGTCCTACTTCTTCGACAGAAACTCCTTGTTCAGCTGTTGACTCTCATCGTCCTCAAAACACGGTCATTCTAGTATCGGTTTCATCTGGTGGGAGCTCTGCTGAGAACAGCATTCCGTCACACTCATCTTCTAGACCTGAATTTAGGGCCGCGAGGGAAAAAAAGACTCAAGATTCGTGTACCGGCTCAGTTACTGGCAATAACACACCGCCCGAGAATGACACATCAAGCGATCGAATTTTGCCGCCCCTAACAACAATAACAATAGCAATAGCAACAACCAGAAAACGGTGCAACGAAGTTCTATCCGATACAACTCTTGAAGCTGCAGGTCCAACCCCCACGTCCAAGAAACCGAAGCTCTCGGGCATACAGAACTACTTCAAACCATTACCAAGATCTTCGAGTCCATCAATACCTCCATCTGCGCTAAAATCCTCAGATTCAATTGAGCCACCTGGAAATTTCACGCCACCGTCTTCACCACCTGCGGCTGAAACTGCCCCGTTCACTCGCCCTAATAAATCACAGAAGAGACAGCCCCGGCGGCTTACTACGAGACCTACCCTCGAACCTCTTGGCAGCATGTCATCCCGTAGGTCTTGTCCGGCTCATTTGAGCGATGAAGATCGTCCATCCTTCTCGGAAGTAGCGGGTGGTGCTGATGACTCGTCTGGGGTTTCACTTGTTGAGGAATATTTAGATCAAGACGAGAAGGATGATTTACGGAGATCTGAGATGGTCAGGGAGCAAAACCGTCCTCGGTCATATTGGTATGGACCGGGCTCGCTAAGACATGCTGGCAATTCTGCTGTCAATAGCGGAAGTGGATCTCTACCCAACTTACCGGCTGGCGGTATGTCTGCTGGTAGACCGCCTCCAAGCAGACCACTGCGCCCCAGAGGTGTAAGCCAGCCTCTTATTGGTGGCATTCGAGATGTTAGAACCAGCGAACCTGGCCTCCACAGTCCGTCACGCCATGCCAGCTTCTCGCAGGCAGGGCCTTCTAGTGCACCATATGGTCCCACGAGATCTTCAAGTGCAAGAGCCGACAACCGCGACCTACATGACCATGAGGAAGAATATGAACCCCAGTCGGCCCCCCCTAGAAACTCGCAGGCTCTGTCGGAGAAGAGGAGATATGATCAAAATCTTGCACCATACAAGCCTTCCCACACCTTGCCAATACCAATGCAGCCCAAGAAGAAGAACGAGTCAACCGGCTACCACCAACTACAGATTGATCTCGGCGTAACCCAATCCATCAATTGCCCCAAATGCAAAATGCTCTATAACCCCTCCGATCCGATGGATAGGCGTGCACACGATGACTTCTGCCGATCGACCTCCTTACCCGAGCTGCCAAGACGAATTGCCAACAGCGATCGCGCTCTCTGCGAGAAGATTGTACACGGTGAGCAACACCAAATCCGCGTTTACGGTCGCACTTCCACACAAGCCCAACACAACCACGCACAAGAAGTTCTTAACACAACATACAAAGACCTCGAAGGACTCAGATACACAGACGACGAATTATCCGCCGAAGTCCTTGACCCGCTTACATTCATCAATCCAGGCATGGTCCCGCGTTTCAAATTATATGTTTACTACATCGACCGGAAAGTCGTAGGTGCATTGTTGGTAGAACGATACCACCAATTCGAATCCCAAGCGTTGGTAGAGCGTAGTGGAAAAGGGGCAATGGGGAGAAAACATGTTATCTTTGACCGCTTGTGGGTCGCGGCCGCGTATAGGAGATCGGGCTATGCTAGAGAGTTGGCGGATGCTGCGAGGTCTGACTTCATTTCTGGGATGGATGTGGCTAAATTAGAAGTTGCGATGCCGGAACAGACGGAGATGGGCAGAGGTTTCGCTAGGAGGTATTTTATTTGATTTGGTTCGGAAAAGGAGTTGGGCGCTGGGCAAAAAAATGATATGATACCCTGGGTAGCGATTCGGGACTGAAAAATGGGAATGATATCCTCCTGAGAGATGTATGCGATACTGCCGGAAGGCGCATGCGCTGGAAGGCTTGCATTGCGGTTCATCTGTTGCGGAACTCAGTGAGGACATTCTACTTGAATAAACATCAAAATATATGAGAAGATTATCTTCTAAAGCTTTCAGCTATGGGATGCATTGTTTAGTGGATTCTGAAACTCGGTTATTATTGCACTTCGTAGCATTAACGAACATGTTGCAAACGTTTATTTTAGTCTAGTGAAATGTGAAATTCATACGCACTATCCTCCAGTATTTCCATCTTCGAGGAGTTCTGAGGATGTCAGCTACCTAACTTTCTTGATTCAACTATAAGTCTAAGTCCGTCTAGCTTTTTTTTTTCGGCTACTACTAAAACGCTCTTTGCTTATGCGTTTCTTGTCCTCTTAACATAAAACTCAGTAGTGGTTTGAATATCATAATTACACTCTATTATTGTTATATCAATTAAGTTGAGAATGAAAGACATGCGTTTCTACTTTGTAAATGTATAAAGATCTGTTTCAGCTCGTGAAGCTCATGAAAGCTACAAGTTGCGTTTGTTTTTATTATTTCCTAAATAAACTAGTTGAGTATAGATGACAGCTTTAGTAGAACGCAATGGTAGGAAGCGTTCAAGAACTTTGTAGCTTGAATATTAGAAGACATGTATGCATAGTAAAATAAAGAGATTAATAGTAAGTTAATATATTTTCAATCTAAGAAATGAAGAATGGAAATGCCCGAGATAAAGAAAGCGGATGATTGATACAAAACACTAGTGGATCGACTGAAGATCTTCACTGCTTTCATGCAACTCAGATACTCCACAAGCAGTGCAAAATTATCTTCTCGAATAGGTTCATATTCTTGATACCCATTAAGAAGAAGTACCTACCTAGGTAGTAGGTGTATGATGTTGTGAAGACGAACATCCCCACATTCATAGTGTAAGCCCCACAGCGCACAGCCAATCGATGGCGTCCCGAGCTTGATAACAGACCGGACATTCCGTGAAAGTACCACGCCAACAATCACCGCCATGATACACCATTCAATGGCTTCTGTATAACACAACGCGCTTTGCTATGGTATGCACTGTCGTGGATGAATAGGATGGCTTCAGATCTGCCTTCGTCCAACCCTTTCAGGAGGAAAGGGCATTCAGCAGCTGCTGCCCCTCCAGCTCCCGCCGCCCCAGAAAACCCCTCCTTCGAGCAAATCAGCTATAAACAAGTAGATTCCCCGCCATGGTCAGGACCACCAGCAATCGATGCACCGAAGAAGATCACGAAGAAAGTACGAGTGCAATCACCTCCACCGCTATCGCCGTCAATACTAGACTTGGCGTCTACTACAAGGCAGGAGAGGTTCCCAGATTCCGCCTCTGCACAACCGCCAGCGCCGATCCCACGAGATGTAGACCCCTTCTATAGCATAGCATCGGACACATCTGAAGATGAAGCAAGCAGCTGGCCCAGCAGGGTCCCAGCGAACCCCTTTTCAAAGACATTGGAGACGATGGAGCGGCCCGGAGGGCTCTCCGGACGGGAGATCCCTACGGTACCACCAACGAATGTATCAAGTCCCGGAAGGGCATCTCTGGATGTGGCGGCATTCAAAAGGTTACTGATGACTGGGAATGCGGGTTTGGGAATATCTACAACAGCTCCGCCGACCCAGGCACATGTGGCCCAGCATGCGTTGGGCGATGGAGGCAGCAGTACGGATGCGTCGTCAGTATCAAGACAGTCCATGTTCGAAGCAATACAGGAGACACATGCCGAATCACCTCGCACATCTCACGAGATATCAGATCCGGATGACGATCGAAGAGGGTTAGCAACAGAGACGCAGTCCTCAACTTCCGGCAGAAAGAAGCCTCCTCCGCCCAGTTCGAGACATGGAAAATCGATCAAGGTCGAACTGAGAGACGAACCTACAGCAAGTAATGTGCAACCACCGTCTACGCCAGGCTCTATCACATCCCAGAACTATTTCCCTTTGAGTCCAGTGAACTCCAACCGTTCCCAAACTGATCTCAACAAGCCGCTACCTCCTGCTCCAAATAGAGCCAGCCATGATTCGGATCAAGAATCTGTTTTTGACAAAGAATCAGCTGGGAGAACGCCCGAACCTCCATCGCCATCATCATCGATAAGAAAGAAGACACCTCCAGCACCTCCTCTCGCCCGACGTCATAGCCAACTGGTGTCAGATTCCAAGTTGACTCGGAGTGGTTCGGGTAGATTGTCTCCTAGAGTCGAGGAAGATAATGTAAGTATTGCCGGATCAGAATACTCTGGCAGAGAACGTTCGAATAGTGGCAGAGTACCTCCTCCGCCCCCGTCTAGGCGCCCACCATCAATACGTGACTCTTCACAACACCTGCCAGTATCACCTCCTTCCGCAACCTCAATACCTACTCCTCCACCAGCGCGAGGGTCGTCAAGGCTTTCAATGCCTGGTAGACTCCCTTCTCTCTCCAGTCTAGATCTACCAACAAGCAACAAACGCGCATCCGTTGTGCCACCGCCACCACCACCACATCGTCCTGGTTGGGAAACACCAACTCAAACTCAGTCACCAGGAGCTTTACGAAGAGCTAGTGGTGAGAAAACGATGCGTAGTATAGATAGTGCGCGACCGCGACGGGATTCCGAGACCTCGTCTGTCTCACAAGTGGAAAGAATCGAGAGCAACCCAGGGAGTGATAATATCCTAGCAGATCTCAGTGCTCTGCAACGCGAGATTGATGCACTTCGCAGCCAATCCGCGGGCGAGAGGGTCACATGATAGATATGATATGCGGGTAGGATTCAAATAGTTTTGGGTTGCACGAAGAAGGGCTCCCATCGATATCAGACCTCACCGCTTGTTTAATCGGATGTCTAGATTCGGGAATATAAAGGTTTGAATGATTAGTTCCAGGGCTAAATATACCGGGTTTGAGCCTGTGACCAAGCTCGAAGTAAGCATTGAGCCATGATATGGTGTGGTCAGTAAGCAATCAAGGCACGGCAAGGTTAAAGCTTGCGGGACGTTTTGAGAGCCAAAGCTTTGCAGCACAGGACGTAGAGGGGTGCAAGCCAAGCGTTGGACGAAGCTCAGTTATGAGCGTTTATCATCGGGAAAGCACATTTCAATCAGGCTTATGTGTGTGGCGTGGAGTGTTAGGGGTCTTGGGGGTCAACATCGAAGACAAATCAGACATCAGACAACCGATCTCGTGCTCAAACACGGGATGCGAAACGCAAATATGGAGCGCAAATATGGATGTCTTCAACCCAACCTAGTACTAAATAGAAATTCACATGCGATTTTTCCGATATGCATACCTATATAATCGATTATATCCAATTTACCCAGGCGCAATCTAGTTTCTCGATGGAAGGGTAGCGACAGAAAGAGTCTCCTCTCCGGAATGGATCAATGTTTTAAGACATTTATAGAGGAATTGGACTGGTCTTCAACTTTGATAGGACCCTTAAAAAGCTTCTAATTCTCTATATGCAAGCCACGCACTCGAATAGCGTCTCTTCTCTCAAACAGGTCCAAATAGCTCGTGTCCAGGAGTTCCTTTAAGAGGTCTCGATGGCGACCTCAACAGTGGCAAGGCTAGATTGATCGAAGATCACTCTCCACCCGGCGATTTGGCTCGTGCTAGGGTCCTTGAGTTTGAGCTAGCTTCCATGTGGAATCCTCTTGTGATAAATAGGGGTGGTGGTGTTTTGTGGTTATTGGATAAAGGGTGCGGTGCGCGGGAAAACGTTGGTTGCAACATCAAGGCCCTGACAGCTGCATGCGATGTTACCCGCATGAAAAGAAAACTGGGCGAGCTAGCATCGTAAAGCCATCGAAATGCCGAATACGTAGCGGACGAGCCTCTGTTTTCCTAGAGGCTCGAGAGAAAAGAGGCGTCGGGAAAGTTGTGAGCTAAGGCTGGGGTGCTGTTGAAGAATTATCGAATTATTGATGGCATTGGTAGGTTAATTAAGGATCTTCCTCATCCATCCATCCATCCATCCATCCCTCCCACGGCTCACACCTTCTTTTAACCAGCTGGACTAAGCTAAGCTTCAAGGCATTCTCCATCATGGCACTTTAGTAATTGGTGGCACTCTGCACCGTTGCATTGCTGATGTTTGACTTGCCTCTTACTCCAGGTATTGCTATCATTGCCGATGCATCACAGCATACAGCCAAGGGCGGGGTAAGCAATTTATACCCGTCTGGTATCAGCACAATTTCTTCCCGTAGTCGGCACGAGCCTCCCTCTGGTTGGCATAGACGGGCCGTAGATTTCGGGAAGTCCAGCGCTTCTGTAGCCTCGGAGCTGACACGGCGAGTGAGGGATGCCGCGGCGTTACAACCAACAAACCCTATTAAAGAGGTGCTTGCTCCGAAGTTCGAACAGACAGGCGTCTGCGTTTTGTCAAGCCCTACTACTCCATACCCGCGGTGGTAATTTACAAATGGATTTCACCCAAACATCGAAGGTTAGTCAAAACAAACCGCGCTAAAGCGAACCCCGATCGCAACGAAGTAGGCGGACTAACAAGGATTCTCGATCCTAAACCTCTATTATTGTGGAGATATAGTAGCAGCGTTGTATCGTTAAAATTCCGGGCCCGAAGGAGAAGGAATCGTACCATGACGAGCAACACAGTAAGAGCTAGGCTGCTAGAGATAGCCTGATCTCGAGGGCTGGCTTGGTACACCGTAGACAACCCCAAGCCCTTGGCTCAACCCTTAGCAAGACATTATTAATCGAGAGATCGTCGGCAAAATAGGGGCATACTGAATTTGTGCTGCAAAGTGCGGGATACCCAATCCGGCTATCCTTCGGTTGCTCGTTCCGAACGGGCTGCTGTAACGTTTGCAATTGGAGGATATACACTCTTACCAAACGGCACTGCGGCACAGATGCGTTACCGAGCTGAACTACTCCGTAATTCTTCACGAAGTAATTTTGTCAGAGCGCACCCCTTCTTACGCAAGAGGGTATTTGAAGCGAAGAGCGATGTGCGAATCTGTCTAAGCCTTGGTGGGTTAGAGCTACCCTCGCGCACAGACAGCACACTACTGTAGAATTACTTACGGTGTGTACGTACGGAGCACGGAGGTAAGCCTACGAAGCTCGATCCTTGTAGCGTCTTGTGCGAGCGGGAAGACGCGAGACGTCGATCCCAGATCCTCGCCGATACGGAGTACGGACGGGAGGTGTAAAGAGGGGAGCTTAAGGTTTGCTGGGAGCTGGGTTGTTGCTGCTTTGCTGGGAACTTGCTTGCTCTCACTGTTATACTGTGGCAAGATTCGTAAGAATTGCCCACTCTCGGAAACATATCATTTTGGCTTCCGTCTTATCTCTCTACTTGATCCTAGAAGAGAACTAGAATTCGTAAGAGTCGTCTTTGGCCTTTCAGGATTCCAGACTCCAGAGCATCTGGTACCGATAACAAATGTCATGCACGAGGCCTTCTTCGAGCCACGGCTGGTATGCAGACCAGAACGTTGGTGCAGACATAGCCCCTCTTGGCCTTCGGGAAACACCAATCAGATAGTATCTACAGTTACCAGAGAGCTGGTTTGGTATAAGCAAAGCGGCACAGCTGATTCTTTGGGGTTTGCTTACCATGTTCTTCTCTGAAGGGGTATACAAGTAATAGTTCGAGCTACTGAATGGGACGTGTCACCTTGCTCTGCGCCGCTATGGCACAGTGCCTTCCCTCCATGATAAATCCTGCTTCAGAGCTTCAGTTAGATCTTCATGATTACCGGGCCTCATGTTCAAAGTTGTCTCTTCCTCTTTTGGGAAGAGCTTGCGAAAACGAATCCGAATTTCTGGAATGTACGGAGGTATACACGGAGAATTGAATATGGGGCCTTGAATATCCACAGCTAACCGCATCCCCAATCCAGCGCGATAAAAGCTTGGAAGCTTGGAAAAAGCTTGCGAAGCATGGACAAGTCGTGATGCGGTCGCTGCACGTTTTTTGTCAGGCAAGGATGCTGCAGCTAACTCAGTATTTATGCCAAGTTTCCCTTGTCGTCTGCTTTTGAGACGTTCTGCGGCGCAAGCATGCACATAAGCTACTGTAATAGCGCCTCCCCTCTTATATTACCATCATGCTTTAGTAGGGTTGAAGGAGGCTAGAAGCATGCCAGTTTCGAGAAGCGATAAGATAGTGATGGGATGGACCCCGTGAATCATTTACTCCCAATAGCAGATTTTACAAAGTGCGGTGTCTCTTGTTGGCCATTACTCCAGGTAATAGTATAGTAATATCCACACATTTCGTCCACTTTGCTGACTCGAGTAATAGAGCAGCCAGAGACTATGGACAAGCGTGCGGAACGCTCCGCACCTCTATAACATTGAGATGTTACATGCGCGAAAGGATTCCAAGAATGAAGTCCCTTGAAGGCATTTTCTTATAACTACGTTGGTTAGAAATGTTATGGTAATTTCAACACAAGTTTTGCCTTCCAAAATATCGCTATTTGGATTTCACGAGTCTCGTCGCGGGGTATCGAAGTACAGATTGCGGGCAGCTGTTCACAAGGAGGGCAATTGAGGCCATTATTCTGATGGTTTGAGCTTGAACTAGTACCTCAAAAGCCAGGCTAATCGTGTAGACGGGCAAGTCTGCTGTACATGGGGGAAACGCGAAACTGAAGTTTACGGTACAATTCTTGGCCCCAGACCGAATTGTGGGTTTTGATCCTGGATAGCCGGATGATCTTCAGCACTACCGTGCTTCGAGGGCTGCCAAGTTGCAAAGACCTTCAATTAGCACTAAATTTATGGAGAGTATGGGGCCAGATTATGCCGTCTCTTCAATGCTCTTTGGTCCGTATTCCGATGTGCTGGGAGCGTGGGATGGGAAATTGAACTGGCCCATCGAAACTGAACATCCGTCCGGTGAATGCCGGTCGTGAGTCGTGAGTTGTGACGACGTTTCGATTCTGAGCGTGGGGTTTCTCAATTGACGGCAATACTTCGTAACATCGACCTTCTGCGAACCCCTATTTTTACCTGCCGTCTATTCAGTACTTTTTGACAAGACATGAAGGTGGCATCACGCGGTGTAACCAGGTAGCGGATGCTGTGTCACTCCTTGTCCTATCGTGCCCTCCAAGACAAGCAGGAGTGGTATCTTCACTGCACATTCGACTTCTTTGGGATTCTTTAGCGGACGCCCAGTTCAGCCATTTCAAGACTTGATTCGCCCAAACACCGCGATGCATATTGCTTTGCACTTCACTGAGTCAAGCATTGGGAAAACAGGGGCAGATTTTAGTCAAGCATTGGCTCTCACTCAGCGAGGCTAAATCATAATGGTGGCACAAATCAGTCCTTTAAGGGGCAGGCAGGATAAACATACTCGAGTAAGTGAGTGCATTCAAGGCACGGCACTTAGCGAGTACGTATGCGAGGATCTCTACCGTTCTGTACTACTACTAAACAGGTACAGTTTATCGGAAAACCTCCAAGCTTCTTCGGAATAACAGTTAATTACCCACCTTTCTTTAGCACTGCTTGGTCCGTCCTCTGTCGCTATCACGGATTCGCGGGGACTACGGTACGGAGCGAAGGCAAGAGTGGTTTGGTGTCTTACCTAAACAGGCTCTGTACATCACGATCCCACCCGTGGGGCCGCGAATGCTACCGCAAGATCGATACAATAATACTTCGTAAATTGGCCAGCGCCATAGGATGGGGTACGATAGTATCGCTACATGATTCATAGATTCGGGTCTGGCCAGCGATAGTAATTCAGGTCACCCAGCTGTGCAACCATGGGGGCTCTGCACTAAGAATCCCTTGATAGAGAACTGAAGCTTAAATAACACGACTAGGGGACACGCACGACGTCGACCTGCGCAAGTCTGCATACATGCATAACGTATTATCACTTAAAGCACATACGGAGTACCTACTTTATGTTACAGCCTCCCCTGAAACCCATTTTCCTGCATTTCGGAGCGAAAGCCTTCTTCCTGGTCGCTTGCCTGCATTTCATTTAACCCCTAAGAGGCCCTAAGGGGGTAGTATCCCCGTGTGTGCAAGGGCCGTGTGCACGTCCAGCAACAGCCGTCAACCCCTGGTCCCTTCCATCCTTGCCCTGGTTAGACAAGCGAGGGTAGTTCGCCCCGGTGGGGGGCTGATATTATCAATGTGAGCCTCTCGTCTTCTTTGCGTTCCTTTTTCGTTCACACTCACTGGCTTTCTCCCCTCCTCCCCTTTCAGCAGTGGTCGGAAGTTGCGATAATTGATTGAGAACGAATTTGGGACTCATGGCATCGTTAATCGCAGGATACATCGAACAATAATGGACCAGCAGCTACCATTATTGGAGCCCGACATCTCATGGTCCTCGACTACAACTCCAAGCTCAGACGTTATCGAGGTTACGCAAATACCCCAGATTATTCCTTTTTCCTCGTCAGCCGGGACCCGTCATATGCGACCGCCAGTCCGGAGGCGCATGCGCACTGAAGAGCGTCGCAACTTGGCTGGGTCAAAAATGTATGAGACGTTTGAGATGTCAATCGTGGATTCTAGAGCCAGTATGGACGGGTCGGATGCTTCATCTTCGTGTGGGGGATTGACTATGATAACCTCTGCGACATCATCATCATGTACGGATCCATGGAGCTCGTCGGGCGGTTTCGTGGAAGAGGAGGAGGACGACGGTGATAGCACTTGGGAGCAAGACGACAATACGGCTGGTGAACAAGAGGATGAGGGAATTGTCATTCCTAAACTTGAGCCCATCGAGGATGTGGATATGGAAGATCTGGAGCAGGCCGACGTCAAAGGGAACATTGTGTCCGAGTCACCTTCCTCGGAATCGACGCCAGCCCAGATAAAACGGCCTCGAGGTCGTCCGAGGAAACATCCCAAGCCGACACCGGAGTCGATGGCAAAGGTTACTAAGGGCAGGTCCAAGACAGGATGCATCACCTGCAGGAAACGTAAGAAGAAGTGCGACGAGACGAAACCTGGCTGTCAGTTGATTTATGATCCATACCCTGCTTACTCAGATTAATCTAACACCCACAGGTATGAACTGTGAGAAGAACTCCGTACAGTGTGAAGGTTATCCTGCAAAGACGATATGGAAGAGCGGCAAAGAGAAAGCAGAAGAAGGTAGGGTCATGAGAGCATATCGGTCCGGAACGGATGAGCTGATCGGTCCAACAGCCCAACTACGCAGGGCAAGTTACACATTGCCAAACATCAAGTTACCGCCCATGATCAATGGAGTCGAAACTGAAGGAGACAGAATGTTCTTTCAGCATTACATAACCCGGCTGAGTTTGATATTCACGGTGGAAGGAGAGCAAGACACCGCTTTCAAGAACATGTTATTACCGATAGCCTTGCAACATTCAGGTCTTATGCATTCGATACTAGCCCTTGCGAGCAAACATATCGACTATCGCTCACCTTATGGCCTCCATATCTTGCAAGAACACCCAGGTGTTGATATCAAGACATTGGAGGAACGCTCTCAATTTCATCATGATGAAGCTGTCAAGGGGCTGATACGGCAAGAGCAACAAGGCGACTCCAATGTGGCAATTGCTGCGACCTACGGACAGATCTTATGTCTTGTCCTTCAAACTCTCTCGGACGAGAACCCCAATGGCCAACATCGGTTCCATCTACAACATTACCAGAAACTTATTCAAGAAAGACCTCCAGAGGACCTCGATTTTTTGAAATTCATTCATGAGTTCTTCCAATACCATATTGTCGCAGACGAGTTAATAGCACTTCCACAAAATGGGACACGCATATTAGCACCAGATGACTGGGACCTCCCAAATACAGTCATCCAACCGGCAGCTGTCCGCTTACTCGGCGTCTCGGATGGTCTATTTCTTTACATGTCTAGGATCACCAACATCCGCAACAAGATACGTGAGAACATGGAAGCCCGGGTCGACCCCGTTGTGGACTATACATCACTTTACCGCGCCGCCGAGATTGATGCCGGCATCAGAGAATGGACACCAGCCTGGCCCGAAGGCGATTCTCGCGACCTCGCCGGCCTTCTTTACAAACAGATGATGTGGGTTTACCTGTGGCGCACCATTTACCCACCAAAAGCGACAAGCTGGAAACCCGACAACCGAATTACTCAAGCCGTAGACGATGGCTTAACGCTACTTGCATCTTTTACGCCCCGTGACCCAAGCCAGACGCTAATTCTGGCGCCGGCATTCGTGATAGGTTGCGCGGCTTTCGAGAAAGAGCAACGGGACCCAATACGCAAGGCCATCGGCACAGTGAAGGCATACATGGAGTACAGGAACTCGGATACAGCACTGCAAGTTCTGGAGGAGGTGTGGCGGCTCATGGATGCTAAGGATGAGAGGAGTTGGGATTGGCAGAGCATTGCGCACAGGATGGGAATGGATTTCCTTGCCACGTAATACCGTCCGTCATCTTCCTCTCTTTGTCTTGTCGCTATGCCTTATGATCAGATTCCCACTCTCCACGCATCATGGGCGAGCATACACGTTTCTGCGCTCCTGGACGCTTTATAATTCGGACCGTTTTCGCTTCATCGACATACCATTTCCACATTCATATACGTTGTTGTGTTCTATACAACTCTCGGTATTTCCTCGGCTCGGATCGACTATTTTCTACGTTCAAATACATTTACCGACTGGGGATGGCTCTTTGTTTTTGAAGTTTTGCATGATACCAAGTACGCGCGTTGGATTATGCTCTCCTGCGATGCGTTGCTGCTTTAGCCTGGGTGGCTCTACCTTTTTATCTATCTTCACATGGGAACTACGTTTTGTATATGGAGGCTGTAACTCTCAAAATGGGAAAGGGGGTCGGGGGCAGGTCTCTTTGTACATGTCACGCTATACTATACGATCTAAACGTATGTGCGCGAGCAATAATTGTCTTATCTTATCTGTATGTATTTATTGAATAAACCTGGAAAGGAGGGGGTGCTCTGGAAATAGGTTTGGGGCAAAGGAGGGGAAGGGGGGCTTGCGATTTTGAGATACATATGAAAGGGGTCAAGGCGTACATCTTAACTTGGGTTGGTGGCTAGGCAATAAATATATATGAAGAGATATGAAATGCATGTCCGTATGTTGGCCTTCAAACATATCTTACACATAATGAATTTTCCCGTGAGGCAGGGCAGGACAGGGCAGGGCACAGGGTGGGCTGCGCCGCGAACACTCTTGTTTAGATAAAACGAAACGAAACGCAACCACGCCACATACTCCCGTCTCCAATCCGCACTATTTACGAGTAGCGCAATACCGTTCGTTCGTTTATTATTGCTACAGGCAGACAGATAGACAGGCACAGAAATCTCCCCAATCCGATGGCCTCTGCGAAACTCGATCCCGGTTCTTTGGGCCTAATTGCTGACTGATTGCATTGCAGGCCTGCATCCCTGTTAATTGAACGCCCTTTTTGATATTTGAAATGGGATGATTTATTGATAAATGCTTACTTGCTTATTGATTACAAAACTGTTCTTGGCGCAGAAGATTTATGGTGGAGTGAAGGAATGGGGTGTTTATATTGGGGTGTTGGGGAGAGGGTATCTTAGAGAGGAGGGAGGGGAGGTGGTTTGCTTGCTTAGCTAGGTGGTATGCTCTACAGTGCGGGGTAAGTAAGCTGGTATAAGGTAACCAGGCGAGGCAAGGTAATACGGGATAATTAATATATTTCAGTCTCTCCCGTCGTTGACTAATAAGTAAGTAGTGATAGGTTTGATTTTTTCTATCTTAGTACTAGAGTCAACGTATGAGTTATCATTTCTTCTCTTCTATAAGTCTACAGGTACCCGGGCTTCTATAGATATTCGGTATAGCTTGAGTTATATCGCTCTTTACTTGAAGGAAATTTCTCTTACGATTAATTAGATTGCTTTGGAAACCCTAGAAGCCGGTTTAGAAAAGCATGTAATGTAGCATTAAGAACTCCGAGATATCTCCATCTCCATCTCTATCTCCGTCCACCGTTCGCAAAAAGATAACGCAGTCACTCCATAACGAGAGTTTCCGTTTTTTGAAAACATATATCCCGTGTAGCTAACATGTGGTACATGGTGATATGGAGACGACCCGGCCCGGCCAAGCCCTAGCCAAGGGAATATTCTTACAGTCCTTTCGGCAGTTGCCCGTACCATAGATATCCGATTGGGCTACGGAGTACGGAGTATTATACTCGCCTTTTTATTAAGTTTGACAGGCCCTCCACAGTACGAAGTATAAATCCACTACTTGGCGTAGATGGCTAAAATGCTGCAGTATATATTTGACTAGCTCTTTACCCTAGTATACTCTTTTTTTTTTTCTTTCTCTTTTTAGGTCTGATTATGGAGACAGTTTCTATTTTACTCTACAACTTTCTACTCCGCGCCACTTAGAGAGCTTAGATCCGATGAGATACAAAGCTCAAAATCTATAAGATTGCTTCAGCATTGATCTTTCTTGCGGTGCTGCGGATCTATACTAGAGGAAAGAGCTAGTTATATTTGCGGTATCTATCCTTTCCACGCTAGATTGTCTCCAGTATTAAACTTAAAAAAAAAAACGAGTAGATCCTTAAAACCATAGAATAAACCAATCTTAAAGTAAGTTTAGACCTCTTAGGGGCCCTGTAATAGTTCTTTAAGTGGTGCGGAGTATACGTTTTTGGGTACAATTCGGGAATTCAGGTGGGGGCTGTCAGACTCAAGAAAAAAGCGAATATTCTTGCAGGCATCATCGTACCGCAAGCCGAAAAAGCAAACCTCACATTGCGTTTTCCATGGTAGTAGTACCCTTACACCTACCCTGCCATTAAAGCTCCGTACGTGCCGGCCACGTTTTCCTTGAAAGAATGCCGCGTGGGGGGCGGGGTATACACATTATACGGGATATTAATTTCCCTGTTATTCCCGGAAGAGAAGCAGGGCTTTGTCCGTCCACCTGTCCTGTTTGTTTCGGTCTTATTTTAAATACGTATCAATACGAAGGTAACTCCTAGGGTATAGGGTAGTATAGCCGTTTTTCTCAAATATACGTACCAGCAGGCCAGCCAGCCAGCAGCGTTACCAAGCCCCAAGAAAAATTAACTTTTTCTTTGTCGAATATCCGGGCAGCGGCATCTCCGTCTCCGCGCATGGTTCCGAATGGATGGCCCGTGGCTTGGACAGCATGGGTGTCTCGATACGTTGCAAGTACCGGGGCTTAAGTTGTCATCCATGTTCTGGTGAGAAGAATAATGACGTTTTGAAGGTGCTTGTAGCGATGTGCCTGGCAGGACAGGATACGGAGTACTCCGTAAGACAGGGCAGGTAAACTTTCCGACTTGCCCGCTGCAGACAATTCAGCCTATTTTCTGTCTGGCCCGTACCGTCCCGTACTTGAGATCTACTTCGTACAAAACACTCGTGCGGAGAGCTTCATATTGAGACGAATGTAGGAGGCGCATGCACGCACCACTGAGCAAGCAAGGTATTTGACTACCTCCGGGCCCGGGTCACAGCCGGTTGGTACTCCGTATTGCGCCCATGTGTTTTTGCCCATTGAATGCCGACGCCGAGAATCGCGTATAGGCTGCATAGACTCCGTGGCATTGTAAAAGCTGAGAAATCAGGAAAGTATCAAGGGTACTGGTGTTGGTGTTGGTACCGCCGTCTCTTTCACTTCTTTTGTTTATTAACCGGTCTCTGTAAAGCGTCCAACAAGGGGGTTTCAATATATTCCCCGATGACCCCGGAAACTTAAGTCTCCTAGGGGGATAAATTCCCGAGTGTGTGGGATGTTGACAAATTATTAGAAAGAGCTCGTTATACCGTATACGGCATTGCGTCGAATTCGATACAAGTGCCGAGTCTTGGAGACCGTCATCCACACCACATATTTTTCAGTCGAGGGTCATGTGCGGTGGTAGACCTAATCTAGCAAAAGGCGTGACCAGACTCAAGCGAAGAGAAACAAGACAAGTTGCAAGAATGGTCCTATACCAAGTGCTTCTTTACCGTCCACCTACGCCAGGCATACCAAATCAGAACGACGATGAATGTAAGCGGTACGGAAACAACCCAGAAGATCCAAAATTGTGGAGAGACTCCACCGGACGCAGGGGAATCGAACGTGAAGAATGCAGTGCTAAACAGTGCCTGACCAACCATTAGTGGACGCAGGATGCGACAGTTACAGTATTTGACAACTCACAGCAATGAAAGTACTTGGCAGGAATACCAGGCCTAGAACGGCAAGAGTCTTAATAGCTGAAGTATCACTTTCCTGTTCCCGTGCCTTTATTTGCGCTGAACTCTTAGAAATGATTTCACTCATTCGTCTGTCTCGTATGCTCATCATCAGATCATGTAACTGAAAAGAGTCAGTAGGCAGCCCAGGTTCCATAGTTTGACAGCCATCTTACAATGCCGGAGTGTCTCTGCAACTCTGTATCTTTCGCCTTGATGGAATGCCGAAATGATTGCAAGCGCTTTAGGTCGAAGGAAACAACATTCCGGAAACCTTCCTGTTGTTCCGGTGTCATGGCCGCATCGCAGAAAGGATCCAAGTCCGAAAGTCCCTCCATGATGAAATTCCCTAATGCCACAGCATTGTCAAGAACGTCAATGATTGCCGTGGAGGCAGGTAAGTCTCTGCGACTAGACTGCATTACAAGCCGTTCGAGCACATCCGCAGAAGTACTGGCACAAGCAGCTTGGATGTCCACAAATGATGAGGCGTGAGCTTCAAGAGTCTTGTGCGCCTTATCTCTCAGAGTGAGCACTAACGCACTTAGTACTTGTTGTGGTAAGAAGAATGGGTGTTGAATGTGCCGTGTCTCTGCGGTAACACCACTGAGAACGATTTTCTGCAAAATTGCCTCTTCCCTTGCCCAGAACCCGGAGCTTACCTTCGCTCCCAAATCATGAGACAGTACCAAAGTCTCGTTCTTCCCAAAGCACATCATACATTCTATAGAATGGTCAGATTGAAGCTAGTAGCAGCTGGGTAAAAGAGACGATATCCTGTGAGTTTCAACCCAGGTGGAACTTTGACGCGGGGTTAGTGATTATGGAAGACATGTGACTACCTACGCAGTGTATAATTGCCATCTTTGGACTGCAACTGTTTCCAGGTAAATCCTGAATTGAGTTGTGGATGTGACACGAGGAATTGAAATTCTTCTGGCAGATTCCAATGCTCAATCAAGTCTTTAATATCTTGGTCGCTGAAATTGAAAGATGACTCGGCACCCTCAAGCCTGAACTGTGAGTACATGTATGACATCTTCGAAGTAAAGATGAGAACATACAAGAGACGTATACCCGGATGCTGGGTATTCACATTTGGGTCTGCTGGAACTCGCGGAACTTCTTTGTATACATCGTCGGTGCTTGATCCTTTGAACCGTTTAGCATATATACTTCATCTTGCTGCTCTGCCAACAGGTTTACCTGTGGATATGGACGCCCGCAGAGACGACGACGACGGATGAATTCCCTGCACATAGTTTAGATTTGTAACATCTCATCTAAGTTTGGTGAAGCAAGCCGCTCACCTGAGTAAGATAGGTTCTGAGACCAGGCTGCTGCAAGCTTCGAAATATAGGGGCGTGGATCACCTGTAGGGCTATACATAAGCCAGTGATCAATTAGGTGCGTTGTGAGGTGGTGAAACATACAGAGACTTCCCATAAATCAATCTCGTTTTGCTGGACTGGTGCATGTTTACCATGGGCTCCGGATGCAATCCACGGGCTCCCCGATCTAGATCCTGACCACGCCATGCTTTCTTAGATCCCGGGGTAGAAAGAGCCGCAGCTCCACCTTGCGGCTACTCGTAACGACTGATGAAACGCGCTTTGGGGGATCACATGCTCTTCGTAGAGGATCGAGCCGAGCTTGCGTTGATCGAGTTGCAAGTCCGATTTTTGTTGATATAAGATAAGGCTGATGCTCCCTCGGTTCAGCAATCCCAAGGGCTCCTGTCATTGGTTGCGTATTTCGTATTCGTGCTGCCCGAGTTGCGGGATATATACTTACGGAGTATATATTAAGGCGCTACTGTATGGCATGGGATAATGTTTTTGATAAGTGTTATTAGTACATACTAGTTTCTATTAACTAGAGATTGGGAAAGTCTACTTGGATTAAATATAGAATTAATAAATACAGGAAGTCCGGCTTTTCTGCCTATTATCAGTAGGTCTGGCTCGATTTAGTATGAGTTTTGGTACCTAGTACCTGGTATTTGATAGATTGTAATTTATACTATGGCTCTAGTAATTTAACTTTTATATCATAAAACTATTATAATCCTAGCTGGAACTCGTTGACAGGATTGTGTTTTCCAGCAGCGTTCAAGCCGTGCCGTCCACAAAGCTTACTTATAAAGTGGACCGTTGAAAGGATATCTAATCTGTAGCTTCTCCACACTTTGAATGCATCACAACTCACATCGGTTGCGAAGCGAGGCAGCTCTACACTACAGTACAGTACCTACCTAGGTACATACGAGCTCTGCGAGTATGAGGCACATTCCGTGTAATGTGCAGGTTAGCCGTGCCAGCATCTGGGCAAACTTGATGATGTTATTGACTCTTTCGGGAGCGGCTAATGATGTTTTTCCAACTACGAAATACCTAGTACAGTACCTCCCCTTTTCACCCATTTCCCAACATATCAACATACTGTACACACAGTATGGATGATTTTCAAGTCTACTTGCCTCTTTGTTGTACATTCTGCTCTCCCCAGTTTCCCTTGTCTGCCCGTTCGAAGATCTTTGGCTAGCACAGAATTACATCGAGGGGAACAAACGCCACCCGAGGCTGCGCGATAAACGATAAGCATCAATTTTCGAAGTGGGCAGAGAGCTCGGAGGAGAACTTGATATGTTGGAGAAGGACATAGAAGCTGGGGTATACAGGCCAGGAGGTAACAATGGATCCGTGGCCCAAAATGCCTCCACAGAATCGAACGCCCCCACGGTTGCAAGCATCCTTGAGCCAAGTCTGAACCCGCAGCTGTCTACTGCGACCAGCAATCATCTATCCCTCTCCGAAGTCGAGCCTGTCGACGTGCAGATCAGAAATCTTTCTGTGGTAGTAGATACATCGCCCTCTGCGTTCTCTCTGGAGAACCTGCGGTTTGGGAAGAGGCGAAAACATCAAGATGGGGAACCAGAAGCCGAAAAGAAGCAGGTTTTACATTCCGTCGCGGCTTCTATGCCAGCAGGTTCTCTGACTGCCATTATTGGAGGAAGCGGATCTGGGAAGACCACATTGTTAAACACGATGGCAAAGCGAATGACAAGTAGCAGGCTTGCATTTGGAGGAACGACCACCTTCAATGGTATGGAGGGCGTGAGCATTGTGCGAAGCGCCTATGTAATGCAACAGGATGTCCTACTGCCGACTCTTACGGTCCGAGAAACATTGCAATACTCTGCAGATTTGCGGCTTCCACCGCCAACGAGAGGAGAAGAGCGAAGGAAGGTTGTGGAAGAGGTCATTCTAGAGTTGGGACTCAAAGAATGTGCGGACACCAGAATTGGAAATCATCAACACAAGGGCTGCTCGGGTGGGGAGAAGAGGCGCACAAGCATTGGAGTACAGCTTTTGAGTAATCCCAGCGTTCTATTCTTGGACGAACCAACAACTGGCCTGGATGCCACGAGTGCGTTTCAACTTGTCAGAACACTGAAAAGCCTTGCTAAGAGAGGACGGACTATCATCACAACTATTCATCAACCGAGATCGGAAATATGGGGCATGTTCGATGGCCTTATTATCCTCACAAGGGGAAGTCCTGTTTTCTCGGGAAAGGCAGATGATTGTATACCATGGTTTAAGAGCCTTGGAATGGACTTGCCAGCATTCGTAAATCCGGCCGAATTTTTGATTGATATCGCTGCTGTAGACAATCGCTCTCCTGAGCTTGAGACTAGCTCTTCTGCCCGTGTTGAGCACTTGAAGCACGCATGGGCCGTAGAAAGCGATAAAGTCTACAGCGCACTGGACGAAAAACCTACAGCTGCAACGAGAACGAAGCAGGAGGTTGTACCCCGTCAAACTTCCAACTCCCGGCTTCACTCTCCATTCATTCGACAGACCCGAGTGTTGACTTCTCGTACTTTCAAGACGACTTTACGTGATCCAATGGGAATGACTGGATCAGTCGTCGAAGCAATAGGTATGGGGATTATGACAGGCTGGGTCTTCTTGTCTTTGGGACGCGACCAATCTGGCATTCGAAGTCGTGAGGGGGCTCTATATACAGCTGCTGCGTTGCAAGGCTACCTCATTCTCGTGTATGAGACGTACCGTCTTACGATCGATATACAACTCTTCGATCGTGAGCACAATGAAAATGTTGTAGATGTCATCCCTTTTCTATTAAGTAGACGGATAGCGAGATTCGTTACTGAAGACTTCCCAGTGCCGTTGATTTATTCGGTCATATTCTATTGGATGGCAGGATTCAGAGCGGATGCTTCAGCATTCCTGACATTCTTTGCAGTCGTCCTGCTATGTCAATATATAGCAGTCACCTATGCAATGACCTGTGTGGCTGCCATCCGTGATTTTTCAGGTGCGTCTCTAATTGGCAACCTGGGGTACACAATTCAGAGCATGGCTTGTGGATTTTTCATCCAAGCAAACGCAATACCAGTTTATGTCAGATGGCTGAAATGGACTGCATATGTGTTCTATGCTTTTGGAGCCCTAGCTGCAAATGAGTTCGTTGGTCAGTTCTACAATTGTCCACTTTCTGGCGGCGAGTCTAATCCTGCGTGTGCACAATATACCGGCGAGTACATTATGGCATCCTTGGGGTTTCCGAAGAATTGGGTCGTGAGACCAATAATTATTCTTGTTGCTTTCAGTGTAATGTTCTATTCACTGGCTGGTTTGGGACTGAGGTACATGCGTGTCGAGATGAGCATTGCTCGAGCACGGAACACAGACACGGATCTTTCTGCTGGAAAGGAGAAGATGACAATTAGATCTGCGGAAGAGGTCAGGTCTGTAGATATTGTTCTTGACAAATTTGCCCTTGATTTGGACAAGAGGTCGACGTATGGTAAGAAGCTACCGACAAAGACAATTCTACATCCCATCTCGGCGCATTTCCAGCCAGGGATGCTCAATGTCATTATGGGACCGTCTGGAAGTGGCAAGACTTCACTGCTCAACGCCATCGCTCTTCGTCTACACAACTCTATAGGAACGCAATATCGTGGGTTTGGGGATATGAGATTCAATGGAGCTGTACCATCTGACTCGGTCATACGATCCGTGTGTTCGTATGTTTGTCAGGATGATGATGCGCTCCTTCCATCTCTTACAGTTCGCGAGACACTTCGATTTTCAGCAGGGCTTCGACTTCCATCTTTCATGACGACGGCCGAGAAACACGATCGAGCTGAAGAAGTCCTCCTGAAATTAGGTCTCAAAGACTGCGCTGACAATCTCATCGGCTCCGATTTAATTAAGGGGATCTCAGGTGGAGAGAAGCGTCGAGTTTCAATTGCTGTACAAATTCTCACCGATCCTCGTGTGCTTCTCCTTGATGAACCTACGTCTGGTCTCGACGCTTTCACTGCTTCTTCAATCATGGAAGTTCTTCAAGGTCTTTCAAATGAGGGCCGAACCCTTATCCTCACAATTCATCAGTCGCGGTCAGATCTTTTCAAGCATTTTGGTACTGTCCTCCTTCTGGCTCGTGGAGGTTCACCGGTCTACGCTGGCAACGCTGTTGGTATGCTTCCCCACTTCGATAGGCTTGGATATCCGTGTCCCACTACCACCAATCCGGCGGATTTTGCTTTAGATCTCATAACAATTGACCTTCAGCAATCTTCTCGTGAAGAAGCCACTCGATCAAAAGTCCGTGACTTAATTACATCTTGGTCAAGTGGTGACTTCAACGAAGCCTACAATCCAACAATGATTTCTACACCAGCCGAACTGGGTGCTCTGGTTCGCAAGCCGACCTCCTTTCTCAAAGCCTATCCCATCCTGGTCAACCGAGCATCCATAAACTTCAGCAGGCAGCCACCCTTACTCACGGCTCGCATTATGCAAGTCCTTGGACTGGGCATAATCCTCACACTCTTCTTCGCACCCCTGAAACATGACTATTTCTCTGTACAAAACCGTGTTGGTTTTATCCAAGAATTTTGCGCATTCTACTTCGTGGGCATGTTGCAGAATGTCGCTATATATCCGAATGAGAAGGATGTGTTTTATAGAGAGAACGACGACGGTACATATGGCGTGGAGGCCTTTTTAGCACAGTACATAACTCTCGAGGTGCCATTCGAAATTTTCACTTCTCTTCTCTTCGCCATTCTTGCAGATCTAGCTGCTGGATTGCCGCGCACGCCACAAATGTTCTTCGCTGTTTTCTTCAACTGCTTCTGTGTAGTGAGTTGTGGAGAGAGTGTAGGAATCATGGTTAGTTTACTTCAGACCTCGGTATGTCAATTACTAATAGTAGATAGTTTAATACCCTATTCGCTCACACCGGCTTCGCTATAAATGTAACCTCCGTCTTCCTCTCCATCGCACAGGTCATGTCCGGCGTCCTCTCCATCAACATGCCGGGTTTCCTCCAAGGCGTCAACTATCTCTCGCCTATGCGCTATGTCACCAGAAACTTGATTCCGTATTCTCTTCGCCATATGGCATTCCATTGCACTGCTGCGCAGAGATTGCCTGATGGCACCTGTCCGATCACGACGGGGGAGCAGGTACTGGATCTATATGCGCTGGACACTAATCCTGCTATCAATATCATGGCGTTGGGAATCTGTACGCTGGTATATAGGCTGCTGGCTTATGCGTTATTGAAGGGAATGAGGACGCATTGGGGGAAAAGTAAAATCAGGCATGCTGGACGGCCTGCCGCACATTCAGGGACTGTTGTATAAAGTGACCTTTTAGCAGAACCAGGCGGAAGTTGCACAATCATTTAGCGACATCATGAGCGGCTTTTGTCAACGTTCGTTACGATACCATGACTACATTTTTGGTCGGAGTTATATACACATACATACATACTACAATACATATGGATTGTTTGTTTGCAAGATGATTCCATACTAGTGCTCCCCTCAATCTTCTCCACAAATAGCGTTCTAGCGAGAAGCAAGCATAATCAGCACTACCTATGCTTTATGCTCATGATATTTTACGGCTGAGAAAGTTCTAGGCGGCCTTGTGCTATGCTCGGGGAGGCTTCGGCATTCTAATCGTCATTGGTGACATTGCCCCTCCAGATCCCCCACCTTCGGGTGAGGGGAGAACGTGGTGAGTGGGGGAGTGGGGGAGTCGACCTACGATTGCAGGCTAAATGAGGAGCGAAACCTTTATTGAAAACTCATTACAGGTTCTATCTTGCATTAATACGTCTAAGGGTTCCTCGAATAATAAACTATTATAAAACAACGGAAGATTACGACGGAGTAAGGAGAGTTTGAAAAAAGAAAAGGCAATATGTCGCAGACACAGACTATGAAAGCAGTAGTGTATCAAGGTACGTTCTCTTTGGACGGGGATTGGGAAGAGAACCAACCTACGTTAGAATGATACTGAAATGGAAAATAGAGCCTTTCAAGGTATCGATCGAAGAGCGCCCTGTCCCGGAACTAGAACACCCGGACGATGCATTGATCAAAATCACTACAGCTGCCATCTGCGGATCTGACCTACACATGTATCAAGGGCGGACAGCCGCACAAGGCGGGTTATGCTTTGGTTCGTCCTAACGCCCCCCCCCCCCCCCCCCCTCCTCTTCCCCTACAGTACTCGTGACTCGTGGATCAATGAGGCTGATGCTTGAGATGATGAAGGGCACGAGAATATGGGTATCGTGATTGAGACCGGCACGGGTGTAAGCCTGCTTCAGAAGGGCGATAGGGTTGTGATGCCTTTTAACGTCGCCGATGGGCGGTGCAGGAATTGGTGAGCTTACTTGCTACTTACTACCTGTCTACTCATGCAACACACGCCTTTGAGCCTCGGATCTTCGCTAACACTCGTGATTGATTCTCTGCAGTGAGGAGGGAAAGACGGCTTTTTGCACAGGAGTCAATCCGTAAGTTATGTTATGTTATGTTGTGTTTGCCTTGCAGACCCCCACAGATTCATACTGACATGTAATGTAATGCAATAGCGGATTCGCCGGCGGTGCGTATGGCTATGTGGCAATGGGACCCTACCAAGGAGGACAAGCGCAGTTCATCCGCGTGCCGTACGCAGATTTCAACTGCCTCCCCCTGCCCGCCGGCACAGAGCACGAGAGCGACTTCATCATGCTAGCTGACATCTTCCCCACGGGCTGGCACGGCGTCGAGATCTCCGGCTTCCAGCCCGGCGAGAGCATTGCTGTCTTTGGCGCTGGGCCGGTGGGTCTCATGGCTGCGTATTCCGCTGTCTTGCGCGGTGCGAGCCAGGTGTATGTGGTGGATTGTGTGCGCGAGCGCTTGGCGGCGGCGGAGAAAATCGGCTGCGTGGCTGTGGACTTTTCAAAGGTGGATGCGGTGCCATTCATCGTGGAGAAGAATGGCGGTATGGTGGATAGGAGTGTGGATGCGGTGGGCTATCAGGCTTCGGCGGTGGATGGGAAGAAAGAAGCCCCGTCTATTGTGCTGGAGAATTGTATCATGGTCACTCGACCGACGGGGGGTATCGGTGTCCCGGGCCTTTACGTACCAAGTGATCCTGGAGCACCGGATAGCAACAGTGGAAGTGGGAAACTGTTGATAAGTTTTGGAAAGTTGTTTGAAAAGGTAAGTCGGACTCTTTTCATCATCGTTAAACGTGCGTCTGCCCGTCTTCTCCGTGTTGTTGTTGGATTAATAAGTGCGGGAAACTTCTAGGGTCTCACAATCGGAACTGGTCAATGTAACGTCAAGACCTACAATCGTTACCTCCGAGATATGATTATTTCGGGGCGTGCAAAGCCTTCTTTTGTTGTGTCGCATGAGATTGGCATTGATGAAGCGCCGGGCGCTTATGTCAAGTTTGACAAGAGAGAAGACGGATATACCAAGGTTTTGATTCACCCTAATGGCCCAGTAGCCTAGGTAGGATTATGAATAAAACAAACAAATAAACAGAAAAACCAAAAGAGATGCTCAAAAACTGTCTGTCTAATATACCTAGCTCATCTCCTCTACTAATACCCACTGCAATTCCTCACTAACTCGCACCACAAACTAAATATGATATGTACTTATATATACCTCTTCCCCTACTTTCCCCACCATCCACTCCACAATCGCCATCAAATACACACTCTAGCACAACCGCACTTCTTCCCTTCCCCATCCCGTGCAAGCAAATCTACATACAGTACAGCCGATTCAAAAGGCAGAAACACACAAAAGTCTAGAAATTCTCTTTGCCCCATGCGAATGAGAAGCCTGTTATCAAAAGACGTTAGTAAAAGGGTAAAAAGAAACGAGTAGTATGGACAGGGTTTGGCGATGAATTTGAATGGGAAAAGGGGGAGATAGAAAAAACATACCCGGTTCACTATACATATTACACTTAATATGCAACTGACTCCCCAAAACCTTAGGTCCACAAAAGAAAACCCCACACTCTGCCGGGCTATGAATCTTGCGAATACTCTTAAACACCATATCCCAATTCGGGCGTCCGAAATTCGTCGGTGCGCGGAGCCCCGTAATCGCATCGCGGTCCGCATTCGCATCATTGATCATGATGTTGGTAGCATCATCGACCTTGATCTTCGCTGTGAGGTATGTGTGGATCTCAATATGGTTATCCATATCCTGAGCTTCGATGGCGAGGAGTAGCGAGCGGAACCATTCAAAGGAACCGAAGTCTCGGCAGATCCAGAAGAAGTAGACTTTGCGGAGACGCGTCTTCTTTTGTGGGTAATTCATGCGGTACCAGATGGATTTGAGGATCGATGCGAAGGGCGTGACGCCGATTCCGGCACCACAGAGCAGGGCGATCTCGTACTTGAAGACGTCTTCCGAGGCGGAGCCGAAAGGGCCGTCGATATAGACTCTAGGGAGGACACGGCGAATAGCGGGATCGACACCTTCTGTGCCAGGGGCGGCAGAGTTGACGCCAACGACTTGGGATGCGTCTTTCTTGGGCCCGTCTCCTCTTGGTCTATCGAGTTCGCAGCCAAGGATCTTACCAACACCCTTGGTGAAGTCTCCTCCCATTCTCATGTGGATTGAGATATAATCCTCCTCGGGTGCGGAAGTAAGCGTGAATGGATGATATTGCCAAACCGAGTATTCTGGACAGCAGAGGAAAATGTACTGTCCAGCTCTTGTCTTGGTGTTTTCTTTCTTGATCTGGATCTCGCAAACGTTGCTGGGATGTTGGACAACCTTGGAGATGTAGGTCTTGTGCTTGCCACGGATCTCTCGAGCAATTCTTTCCATCAGATAAATGTATCCACCATACATCCAGTACTGCCAGAAAACACCAATGGCCGAAGACCCAACACTGACGCAATAAGGAGCGAAATCCGGTTGGATCATACAGAAGGCTCCATGGACAGACCAGAAAACAAAGAAAATGACGAAGAAATGATGCGTGTACCAGAAGCGTTCAAAGTTGGCTCTTCGTGCCTTCTCAACAGATGTGATCACCATAGCCATGAGCGCAACCAACATGATGTATCCAGACCAGCCTGGGCCAGTGACGAAGTTTGCGAGAAGGAAGCCACCAATACCAAGGTTGTTCTTTGCCGAGATTTGAGCAAAGTTGTTCCAATGCGCGATCGTATGAACCCAGGAAAAGAAGACGATAGACCAAGCTGTAGTCTTGTGGAAGGTAATGTTCTTGTCGAACTGTATGATGCCATTCAAAGGGGTTTGTCGAGCCAAGGAGATAAGCGTCCTGCAGACGGGGAATAGAATCATAGCCACATCGAAATGTAATGTCAAAGCCGCAGATCGAGCTATCGGATATGTGAGACCAAAGGTGCTTCTCGCCAACGTAAGATTGTCCTTGATCTGGTAATTCATGAAACCGAATGCAAAGACCATTCCATGAATAGCAGCGAAGACGAGGACGAAACTGGCACAATGTTAGCAATGCTGTTCACAAGAAGCTTGCAATGCCACCCACAATCTCCGGTATCCCTCATTGACCATCCACCGATCGAATCTCTCCCGCATATTGAGGTCCTTTGGCCGTTCACCACTCATCTCTCCCGACATCAACATCCTCGTCAACGGCGGCCATCTTGATCTCTCCGAAACCTTCACCGACCCCATACTACTCCTGTTATCGTAACCCATCTTCTCATTCATCTTTCAAGCTCGCGACCTCAAGTCGTGTAGGCGTAATCCGCCTCTTTATTCCTCCCGTGTCAAACTTTTCCTCCCAATTATCGGCGTGTAGTAGAAAGCGATGTGTATTAAAAGGACAGTATCATTCAGAGCCTGCTGAGATGACAGAAGCTCCCGAATGAAAGTCAATTTCTATCCGTCGGCGAAGAAGAGAAGAGAAATGTATTGCTTGTTTGCTGGAAAGAGTGTGAGGATGTCCTAGGAGCCTGCGCGCGACGGCAGTCAGCAGAGTGTATATGCACCACACTAATGCCCTCCCTGATCGACGGTGGCGGGTTTGAGGCACGAGGCAAAATTAGAAAGGAGGGAGAAGATGTAAGAAGGTACGTACTTGTACACAATGCCTGCACCGGTAGTTGGTTTCAATCTCAGCAAACAAGTATTAAGAAAGTATAATGATATGTCTGGGGGTGGAAGAAAGGAAAGAGCAAGTACGTCAAGTAAAAACGAAGGGGCAACAGCAATACAATTGCTTGTACAGAAGAGGAGACTCAAGTTTATGCGTGAGCATTAGGGAAAAGTGCAAGAATGGCCTGACTTCGCACACGCATCGCATACAAGAACAGAGCATTGCCGATCCGGTCTCATACTCTAGTCCATCTTACCAGCAGCGCCTCGTGCACCGCTTCAAGTGTGGACAGGCTCAGGAACGACAATTGAAACATCACGGATGGCAGGGTGAGAGAGGTCGACGTCTCGAAGAGGCTCGTTTGCCCGTGCGGGTTTTCCCCAAACCGGCCATTTCCTCAGCCACTGAGCGACGCTCTGTGCTGCAGGGAGGGCGTTTATTGGGTAGGGGCCTTGCTTCAGGGGGTGCTCGGCTAGCCGCTGTGTTGCGACAGGGTTTCAGCCGGGATGCTGTAACGCTGGAGCTGGGAATCTGGCGTTACAGGAGCACATGGCAATAAAATGGGCAATGCTATTTTTGATTTTGCATGTCTTACGATAAGCAAAGGTCTATCGAGATCGAGACCTCTACAATTTATCAAGTTCGAACTTCGAGGTTATCACAGCGAGAGCTTACCTTGCTTAGAACCCATCCTGGTTGAAGATCTCCTTATTCGCCTCACCCCACGACATCTCCTCCTTGCTCGTTACCAAACTCCTAGTCCGTCAAAGAACCCCACGTTTATTTCTCAAAGAGACAGAAGCGTCTAGACTGTCCCAAAGATTCGTTGTCCCAGTACCGATCAAACGCTATACTCCGTATAGATCCCGAAATCAACCTAACGCTGGTTTATTTTATTGTTTACTTACTATTTAACTCACTCCGGTCTCCTAAGAATCTGAATCTCTGCAAAAGAGATATAATACGAGTATTGCATCACTTAAGACAATAGGTACAGTATACGGCTACAACTCACCATAACCCCACTTGTCTTTCCTCGTTCCTCGTTCCTCATTCCTCCTCACCTTCACACCTCGGTCTCCTCCAAGGCTCCACCCCCTCAACCCCCCCCCAAACAATCCAAAACACCCCCAAAACACCCTCAGAAACAAGCCTCACATCCTTACTTAGCCTTGGCGTTCTTAAGTACAGCAGTCCTGCTCACCACTCACTCGCTCACTACCTTACGCCTTACATAAACCTCCAGTACCTACCTAAGGTATTTCTCCAGACCCATCCCTCCCCTCCGGCTTGCGGGCCAGTGTAGAGAAACCGTACAAAACAATATAGCCAGACAGCATAAATGCTATTCTAGAATGCATATACCACTATGCAAGGAAATAATGCTAAATGTAGAGACGAGGGATTGACTATAGTTTAGGTTTCAAAGTTGAAGGAGGGATTTGAATGTCATGTGAAATGAAGTGTGGGTTTAAGTATAATCAACTATAGACAGGTCGAAGTTTGGGAGTGTTATGATATACTGTAGTTTCATGGCCGAGAAAAGGCACTTGCTCGAGGACAAATGAATATGGGAAAGCATGCTTCATACCTACCTGTCATTCATTCTTTCACGATCAATGTACGTATGCGGCAGGGAAAGGAAAATCATCAATGTGCAAACGATATCTATTCCCCTAAAGACACATGCAATCCTCCGTCCTCCATCAATCATCCATGCCTCCCCTACTACCCCCTATTTCATCACATCCTTCACATCCACATCCACCAGCATTTCACGTTCGTAAAACCCATACCAAATTCACAATGCGCCAGCGAGCTAAAAACCTAAGGGAAAATACCAAGACCATGGGAGGGAGGAGGAGCATCAGATGGCGTACTTGCGGGTCCACTCTCTAGCTGTAGCCTCGTAGCGGGATCGGTCTGTCTTATAGACGTGGGCGATTTCGGGGACTAATGGATCGTCGGGATTGGGGTCCGTGAGCATGGAGCAGATTGAGAGGAGCACTATATATGAACAAATAGATTAACACCCAAACTATTTGTTTTGATAGGATATTTGGAGGTGAGTGGGAAGGGAAGGGAGGGGTAGCCATACCTTTAGAGATTGTCAAAGCAGGAGACCATTGATCACGCAAGATATCTAAGCAAATGGAACCATTGCTGTTGATGTTTGGGTGGTAGATGCGGGTGGTGAAGTTAACCTTCGGTGGCTTGAATGGGTAGTCGGTTGGGAAATGGATAGCGAGGAAGAAAACGCCGCCTGAGTATGGTGAGTCGGACTATTAAAGGAATGTCAGTACTCTCTCCGTATCAACAGCCCCAGCTCAACATAGATTTGCCATGGTAGGGAGGGAAGAACGAGAATGGAGAGATAAGAGAAAGCACTATACTTACAGGACCCATGATAGTTGCTTGCCAGTGGAACTATTAGAGGAGAGAGAGTCAGTATGTAGACCTTGATGGATGTTCGCCTTGCCTCAGCCCGTATGCTCGTGTGCGCATTCACAGATTGACTCGAGGTTGCGAGAATGAGGGGAGCATACCAGATCATCGCCGATAGGACCAGCAGAGCACGAAGACGGTGGGTCACTATTCACGTAAACGCAAGTCAGCCATATGCCCATATTCCAACCTCATCTCTAAAGTCTCTCGTATGAAGGCAAGTAGTAAGAATCTCGATGGACCCCGCTGTAGCCGCCCCACCATCGGTCGTCGTAGAAAAAGAGGAAGCAGAAGCAACGTACCGGCCCAGATCTGTAAGCTCTTTGTTGATTCGCTTCAACGCCATGTTGACTCTAGTGTTTGTATTGAGGTGTGGTTTGGGGTTGTGTTGTGTTCGGTGATGTCGAGGTCTTTTGTTCTCGAGGCACAGCACAGTCAGGAAGGAAGTTCGTTCTGCGTTGGAGGGTAAAGTCAGCCACTAGTACTAGAAAGGCGAAGCGCGAGCCGCAAAGATGACGGAGAGGGTGGAGAGTGGAGTGGATTGCGAACAAACCTTTTGCTCGATATGAAGATGTGTTGGTGTTGTCGAATTATCTGCAGGGAAGAAGTAGAAGTAAAGGGAGGTTTTATGACAGTCAAGATGGACGAACAGCAGACTCGCGAGGTGGAGGTGGGTGAATCTGCGTTGATAGTTCTGGTCTTATTCCAAGAATGGACGAGGGGCGCCAAGAGTCGGGCGGTAGGATAGTTTAAGCGAGGCAAATGCGGGCAGAATTGGAAAAGAAGATTAACATTTATACAGACAAAGCGCTTGTTGGCATTCGAGATGATTTTTTGTTGTCTTTATATTAATCACACACCTTTTCATGCCGATTTACAATCCTTTCACTATGGCCATTATTTACGAATTCCGATTCCGGACCTCAGACATGTTCTATCTACGTAGGTACTGGAAGATGTGGTAATAACAGCTAGCTGCATCATAATGCCACGGCTTTTGCACCGAGATCTCAGGTACAAGTACATTTTTATTCCTTGGCGTAAATACATTTTTAGACACCCGTATAAGTCTTCTTCCGCCTACACAAAGGCCTGTATTCCCGTAATAGCTCTGCCGAGAATAAGACCTTCCATATGTCAGCCTCAAGTAACACGTTCGGAAGGAGACGGAGGAACTTACTGTGAATATCACTTTGCCCCTCGTATGTCTGAGTCACGAAGAGGTTCGCCACATGTCGACCAATCCCATACTCATCGCTAACAGCGTTTCCACCAAAGATTTCTTGCAAAATCCGTGCATTCCAGAGTGCACGATCACAATTCTGCCTCTTGATCATACTGATCATTTCTGGTGCTGCCTCGCCCTTATCCTTCAACCTCCCAACCTGAACGCATGCCAGTGTGCCGAATGCGGCATCGGTGGTTGCATCTGCCAACTTCTTCTGTACCAGTTGGTATTTGGCAATAGGGTTGTTTTTGAATTGCTTCCGGTCCAGGGCGTATGTTCTTGCTCTGGAGATGCAGTCCTCTAAAGCTCCTGTGATACCCCAGGCAATACCATATCTGGCACTGTTCAAGCAGGTAAATGGGCCCCTGAGACCTTCAACATCGGGAAACATGTTCGCTTCTGGTACGGGGCATTCATCCAGATGGATCATGCCTGTTAGAGAAGCACGGAGTCCATTCTTGTTCTTGATGGCAGGTGTCTCCAAAGTTCCAGGCGGACATTCTGATCTCTCAACCAAATATCCTCTAATCTTGCCCGTTTCGTGATGTTTTGCCCAAACTAGAAGCACGTCCGCGATGGGAGAATTCGTAATCCATGTCTTTGATCCTGACAAAGAAAGATACCCCTTCTTGGTAGGATGTGGTTTAGCAGTAGTCTCCATAGCTCCAGGATCACTTCCATGATTCGGTTCCGTGAGACCAAATGCACCCAGTATCTTGCCCTTTGCCATGCCAGGTAAGAACATGTCTTTCTGCTCTTGTGTACCAAACTCATCAATACCTCCCATCACCAAGGAGGACTGCACAGACATCCCTGACCGGTAACCACTGTCTACTCGCTCAACAGCTTTCGTGATAAGTCCAGAGGCGACATTCGAGACACCGGCACAACCATACCCATCAATCGTGGCGCCGAGCAAACCCAGCTCTCCCATTTCTTCGAGGATCTTCTTGTCAAAGTGCTCAGCTCGATAGGCGTCTGTAGTTCAATCAAGTTAGCAAAGCACAGTAATTGAACCTGTAGACTCACCAAGAACCCGTGGCAGCATTCGTTCCTGACAATATGCCTCTGCAGTTTCCGAAATGGCCAATTCCTCTTCTGTGAATAGACTCTGCGCGTTCAATGGATCTTCCCAGTTGAAGGGTTGCGGTGTGGCGTGGGCAGCAAACCCACGAGCAGCAACAGGGCAGGCAGAGGCCAATTGCCTCGCAGAAGTTCGTATTAATGATCTATACATCTTGAGTATTTCTAGAATGGAGAACTGGTATGGGAGATTGTTCTGGCAGCTTGACGTTGTGTCTTTATGTATTTATGAATAACAGTAACTGCCGTTTAGCCCCGCGCCATTGACACTTGTGTTGATGCTCCGAGGCACATTCGGGTATTGAAAATAGGCCGTAGCATGATTTGTACGAGTACGGTTTACTAAAAAGAAGACCAAATACCAAACAGAAATGTACTCTGGTAATTAGGATGAAAGAAGTTGAAAAGCAAATTTAGATATACAGAAGTGAAGCTTGTTGGTAGATTACCTAGACAATTGAAGCTCCCACAGCACTCACATCCCTGCCACCACTCAACGCGAAGTCGCGCTTGCCTCGCGACAGCGCGTCACCTTCTCTGAACCTCGCAGAACCAAAGCTTTCCATAACTCCCAACCACCAGGCGAACCACCACAACCGCAGATATGGGAATCAAGCAGCTCTTCTCCATCATCAAGGAAGAATGTCCAGATGCCTACAAGGAGGGTGAAATCAAGAATCAATTTGGTAGAAAAGTAGCCATTGTACGTTCTCTCCTTCCCCACGCCATGAACAAGTATCTAACGTGTACATCTAGGATGCGTACGAATCCCCCGATATCTTCCCTCCAATCATCCAAACTAATAACCCCCAGCTCCATGTCCATCTACTCTTTCCTCATCGCAGTCCGGTCCGGCGGCGAAATGCTCACAAATGAAGACGGTGAAACAACCTCCCATCTAATGGGCATGTTCTACCGCACCCTCCGCATCATTGACAACGGCATCAAACCCGTCTACGTCTTCGATGGCGCCCCCCCAAAACTAAAGTCGGGCGAACTAGCCAAGCGTTTCCAGCGCAAAGCAACAGCTACGGAAGGTTTAGAAGAGGCGAAGGAGACTGGAACTGCTGAGGATGTTGAGAAGTTTTCTAGACGCACGGTTAGGGTTACGAGGGAGCATAATGCCGAGTGTCAGCGCCTGTTGAAGTTGATGGGCATTCCGTATATAATTGCGCCGACTGAGGCAGAGGCTCAGTGTGCGGTGCTGGCGAGGGCTGGGAAGGTGTATGCGGCTGCGAGTGAGGATATGGATACCCTGTGTTTCGACTCTCCAGTCCTGTTGCGCCATCTTACTTTCAGTGAGCAGCGAAAGGAACCTATTCAGGAGATATTCTTGGACAAGGTTTTAGCCGGTCTGGGTATGGAACGCAAGCAGGTATTGACTCCCATTCTAAACATAAGAAGTATAGCTAATGATCTCTAGTTCGTCGACCTCTGTATCCTCCTTGGCTGTGATTATCTTGACCCCGTTCCAAAAGTCGGTCCCCAAACCGCCCTCAGACTCATCCGCGAACACAAAACCCTCGAAGCTTTTGTTGACTATGCGAAAAACGACAAGAAATCCAAATTCGTCATCCCCGAAGACTGGCCATACGCCGATGCCCGCGAACTCTTCTTCAACCCCGATGTCCGTCCGGCGGAGCACGAAGACTGTGAATTCAAATGGGAAGCCCCTGATATTGACGGCCTGATCCAATTTCTCGTCACGGAGAAAGGATTCAGTGAGGATAGAGTTCGCAGTGGTGCAGCGCGGTTACAGAAGAATTTAAAGAGTAATCAACAGGCGAGACTAGAGGGATTCTTCAAGCCAATTCCAAAGACAGAGGCAGAGATTAAGAGCTTGAAGAGGAAGAATGATGAGAAGGTTGAACTGAAGAAGAAGAAGGTGAAGGAGGAGAAGAAGGAAAAGGCCAAGGCTAAATCTAAGCCGAGGGGTACTGCATGATATGTTTTTATGACCTACATGTACATTTTGCTATTGTTGCTATTGCATGTGTTTTTCTTTTTCTGGACGGGGTTTAGGATGGTCATGGAGTTATGGAGAGATGAATCATGAGCACGGTGTAGAGAATAATCCGATTACTTGATTGCAATAAAGGTATACTCGTATTTGCCAGAAATGATATGAGGTAAGATAAACGTCTAATAAACCCGACTTGATCCATCATCAGTATCAACCAGCAGTCTTCCATCTATCTATCTTTTTCTTTTTCTCTCCACTGCTCTCCACTTTTCAAAAATCCAACGCAATTATCTCATCTCATCTTCGTCTTCTCCTTCTACCCCTGATTAAAAATAGCTTCCTCAACGTAAACGCAAATGCAAACGCAAACGCTCCAATACAAGCAAGTTTTCTCGTTTTTTCTCTTCCCGTGAGTGAGCCTGTCGTCTCCAAAGCAAGACAAAGCAAAGCAAAGCGGATTGTGTATGTATCAACGCAAGTAGAAAGAGAGGAAAGAAAGAAAGAATCCGTATATTACAAGCGTACACTGTCCCCTCTGCCTTCTTTACTCCTCACTCCACTCTATACCCCACTCGGTACTCTCACTGCATTCAATTCCATGCATATGGACAGCATACTCCGTCCGTAGCGATTTCTGGGTTCAAGGTTCGAGGTTCAAGTTCGAGATTCGACTTTCGGGTATCGTGGAAGGGAGGGAGGTAAAGATGTAAGAAGGCAAGGCAAGGGTAAAGAGCGTCTCATAACCCACAATCCCCCTGCCCCTCCTTCCCCACACCCAACAGCGGAAGGCCCTTCCCTTGCACGCCGTCCTGCTGCACGCTCCGGACTACGTCGCCTTGTTTGCAGACGAGAGTCACGAGGTGGACTTCTTCTAGTTGCACGCCTACAAGTATATTAGCATTGTCCTTGTCCTTGTAAATATCCTTGATCGTTTCTCGAAAACTCCGAATATAATGCCAGTGACAGAAAGGATTTTAGGATAAGATGGAGGAAAACATACCATGTTCTGAAGACGTACTTAGAGAGGAGGAGGAAGAAGAGGAGGTACTGGAAGATAAAAACCCCTCATAAATCCTCTCGAACCTCCTCAACCTTCCCTCCAAAGCCTCGAAATCAATCGCTTGCATCACCGTCCCCTTGCTCTCTTTTCCCATCTCGAGTGTAAGTGTAGGAGATGGGGAGAAGATGTTTGTTGGTGTGTAGGTAGAGAGACCTAGTTCGCGTAAAATATAGAGTGTTAGTTAAGTTCACTTTACGAGTATCCTACCTACATGTATCATCTGTGATGGAAAGAAAGAAAGAAAGAAAGAAAGAAAGAGTAGGAATAAAGAAAATGAGAAGGGATAGGGAAAGAAGGAGGGAAAGGACTAACTGCTACCACGCGACCCAACTCCCACCTCACCACCCCCATAAAAAGCATCCGCCTGCGCGTAAATCCGTCGCATAACCCTCAGATCATGTAATGACTGTGCGAGCAGGACGCTGAGGGGCGTGAGCTCAAACTGCTTGACTCCACTGCCACCTGCATTCCCATTTCCACTTCCAGGTAAAGGGTCGTCGTTGGGAGATAGCGAATGAAGCAGATTGCTTATCCAAGACGTTGCCTTGAAAGAAGTCGTGGGTATAGCCGTAGATGGAGATGTACCATCTATATATACGTACGTGTTAGTCACATCTCACCCACCTCCCTCACCCCCTTCCTCGCATCACCGTAAATCCATGATAAGGAATGGGCTGTTGGGTTGTGACGTACAATTTCCATTTCCATTTCCATTTCCATTTCCATTTCCATTTCCATTTCCATTTCCATTTCCATTTCCATTTCCATTTCCATTTCCATT